GGAGATGAAGGGCATGACATTTTAATACAGTGGTGCTTCTGCTGTCTGTCAGAGAATCTGTCAGGTCCGTCCTTTCTTTCATAACATGCAGAGATGTTCTGTTTCCTTCCTAAACTTCCCCAAAGCTGAACAAGCAAATCGCGCCTGTCATGTCATTTCTAATAATACAGCTGCCTAAAAAAGGACATGAGAGCAGAGCAGGATATCCGTGCTTTCTGGCCAACTGTGTCTTTTATAAGATGACTCTAAAAGAAGGAGAAAATTCGTTGATGTTTTGTTAGAAATATTGTGGCCCTGGTTTATTCTGGGCCACAGAACAGCTCTTGATTTCTGACACTTCTGAACCAATGAAGATAGCTGATATTTTTAAACTTGAAGTTCCCACTCATTTGTATTTATTTCTCTTTCAGTTTGGTTTTCCTTTTTTAGCTGCTGTTGATGGGGAAAGCAGGGAATTTCCGGACTTGGTTATTTGCCCAGAGAGATCTGAACATCTGATTCCCTATATTCAAAGCATAGTGGTATTTTCAGGTCCTAAAGCCACTGAAATGCAAGAGTTTGTCAAATTTATGCAGTAAGATTTCATGCAAAGTTCAGAAAATCTCTAGCTGAAGAACCCCTAGTCTGCTGACAGCTCCAAGATCCATTAGCATGGGCTCTGTATTGAACGCAACAGGAGTCTTCTGTCAAAATGACCTCTCCTGATGCTTTTCCAACCCCTCTGCAGAACCTGAACCAGAACCCACGGACGCTGCTGCCAAAGTTTTATGGACTTTATTGCGTGCAATCAGGGGGCAAAAACATCCGCGTGGTCGTGATGAACAACATTCTGCCTCGCGTGGTGAAAATGCACCTGAAATTTGACCTGAAAGGCTCGACCTACAAACGCCGGGCATCCAAGAAGGAAAAAGAAAAGTCCAGCCCTACATACAAGGACCTAGACTTCATACAAGACATGCCTGAGGGCCTGATGCTGGATGCAGACACCTTCAGCGCGTTGGTGAAAACGTTACAACGAGACTGTCTGGTAAGGAGGGGACAGTTTGGGAGCAGGTTAAGGAAGTTTGTGGCTCTTGAGTGTGAGGAAGAGCTAATGATTGAGAACCTTGCTAATCTGCTAACCCCAAAGCAGGGATAAGTCCCTCCACTGCTCCTCCCCTCTAAAAGCAAAGCAGTGAAGTTGAATCTCATGATAGTTTGAGAGCTAAGACTATATGCATTTGTGCCTCCAGTTGTGGCAGTCTGCCTCATTTGTAGCTGGGCTGTTTGGGCTAAAAAAAAAAAAAAAACAACCTTTTCCTATACAATGTGCAACAGATACACAGTACAATGGTGTTACTTGTGAGTCCTCAGCCATTTGGGTTGTGGGATGACTCAAATCTTTGAGATCAAGTAAGCCCAGAAATGACTATTTGATCAGAAATGCTCAAGCTCTGGCTAAGGAGCTGTTTCTATGAATGTTGAGGGGCTGTTCCAGGCTTTGAGGTCTGTGCTGCATTTGAAGTTGCTTGTGAGCAACTGCTGGCCTGACTTGTCTTTGTTCTTAAACTCAATACTAACCTATAGGTGTTGGAAAGTTTTAAAATCATGGACTACAGCCTGCTGCTTGGGGTTCATAACATAGACCAGCAAGAACGGGAGCGACAGTCTGAGGGAGCCCACAGCACGTCGGATGAGAAGCGTCCCGTGGGGCAGAAGGCACTTTACTCCACGGCAATGGAGTCCATCCAGGGTGGGGCTGCCCGGGGGGAGTCCATAGACACAGATGACACGTAGGTGAAAATCTGGTTCTCTTGCACTGCTGGGAGGGGTGGAAGTGGAGGCTGAAGTAGTAGATCCCTAATTTTGGCCAATGTGAGCTGTTGGAGTGGGCCTCTCTCGGGGAGGTTATGGAGAGCTGCTGCCAGTACAGCAGTGTGCTGAGGCAGTGTGTTGTGAAAGGGGGAAGCTGGGGTGGGAAGTAGACTGCAGCCTCCCAGTGATTTTTGCCTAGAAATGTTTAACCTGGGCCGTAGATTGCTGGCCCCTGTTACAGCCTCTGAAACACCATCCGTGCTCTGGGGAGGAGAAACTAGCTCAGTTCTAGCTCAGCATCCAAATATTGGAGTAGAAGTACAGATCAGCCTGTCCTAGGAGCTTAGTGTTCTTTTTTTTGGTTACTTCATCTTTGGGATAACTGATGGTATTCTGAAACCCTCCCAGTGCAGTTAGCAAACAGCCTCCGCTCAGTGGAGCTGCAAGTGCTGGAGTAACTGGTGGAGCAATGGGTCGGGGGGTTGCTGTGCCTAGGCTGTGGCTCTTGAGCTGCAGATGACTCCTGTGACTGTTTCTCTGGCTCCATGGACCAGGCTTGCTAACAAATGGTGGAGTTTGCCACCAGCAGCTGTGCTGTCTGAAACCAGCTGCTCCAGTTTCAACGGAGGATCAGTCATGCTGGAGCCAGGAAATACTTCAGTGTTTCCATTCTTTCAAATAGCATTCTTAACTACAGTGGCCTGCCTGACGCCTGCATGCTCCTGATGTGCGCTGGTACTAGTGGTGCTGCACCTTTGACAGGATTGTGGATTGTGTGGATGGGACTGGAAATACCCTCATCCTGAAAGATTTGCTGCCCTGATAGGCAGGCAGCTCCTGCTGACTTGATAAATAATCTGGTCTCCAGAATAAAATAGGCTTTTATGCTCCAGGAATCTTGGATACCCAGCGACCAGAGGAAACTGCTAATGGCTACTTAATGCCTGGAGCAGGGAGTAGCTTTAGTGTGTGATAGAAGCTAACACCCAGCTGGTAGGTGCCTGAGTGAGGAAGGTGTTCCTCAGATGCCATCTTTATAAACTGCCATGGGACACGTTCCCCCCCCACCCCAGCTGTCACACAATATTTTATGGTGCTTATCCCTTGGGTGTGTACTTGAGGTTGAAATAAGTCTCATGTCCTGTAGCCAAGAAAATCCATGTGATGCTTTCTGGCCTGGGTAGGGCTATTGCTGTGCAACACGTGTCCTTGTCCTGCTGTTTTGTGTTTGGCGATCCAGGCAGGCAGTGACTCCAAGGACACCTTGCATGAGATGGTCTGGGACAGTAGGGGACTTGCTGTGGTTCTGCACAAAGTGACCTTGCAGGTTTTGTGTGGAGCCCTCTTTTCGTGCTGCCGTCTGCCCTCCCAGCTGAAGGTGAAGCACAGATCTTGGGGTATTACAGCCCTTCTTTTTAAGGCTTTGCTCACTGGGGTTTTTGTCTTACCTGCAGAATGGGAGGAATCCCAGCAGTGAACGGCAAAGGAGAACGTCTCCTGCTACATGTAGGAATAATAGATATCCTTCAGTCGTACAGGTAAGGCAGCTTTGCAGTCATCTGTCCTCTAAGTGTCTTAACATCTATTTTAATACTGGATGAAAGGGGGAAGATTTTCCTCTCCTGAAGAGTTTGAAAATGAGTAGGCAGGCGGCCTAAAGCCATCCGTCCAATGCATGTCAGGGGCTGTGAATTTTTATCTTGTCCTTAGAACAGCTGGTGGCACAGAGCTATTTTTCTAAGGTATAATGAGTTGCTCATAAAGAGGTTCCCCGTGTCTGTGCCTAGGGTGGGTAGCGCATCCCCAGGGATGGAAGATGGTTTTCTACCACTCTTCCAGCCAGATCCTCCCTCCCTGTAGTGTTCCCGGGCAGTCCTGACCTGACTGCAGAGATGCTGATGTGCACAGCTGACCGTTCTTGGTTGGAGGAAAGCTGTGAGCCAGAAGAAGGAGGAATCATTAGCAACTCTGTCATCTCTCCTGTGCGGGGTATGAAAAGTGGCTTAGATATAGAGTACGGACCTGAATCCAACTCTTTCTTTTTCTCTCCACTTCTCTGAAATTAGGTTCATCAAGAAGTTAGAACATACCTGGAAGGCCCTTGTCCATGATGGGGTGAGTGCTTGTGCAGAGGCAGGAATTGCCCAGGCCTCAGTGGGGTACCTGCCTTGGCTTCTTTTATACTAGCTGATGCCAATTATGTCACTATTTATAGTGCCTGAACTGGTACAGTTGAAGTTGATGAAAGGAATAGTTCTTGTCTCTTATGCCTGCACAGCAGCGTAGTACCACTTATTCCCAGTTAGATTTTCTTGCTCACTCCACCTCCTCGCATGTTTAGCTGTCATGCTACCAGCTTTCCTCCCCTGTTCCCATCCGTCATTTTCCTTCTCCCCATGACGCCAGGAGCTGTATGCACAAGGCGTGTGCATTCTTGTATGCGTTGAGGAGTCCTGTCTTTGCTCCCTTTGGTGATTGACTGTGTTTCTACTTCAGTAAGCTATTTGTCAGTAAATCCCTTTCAGTGTTCCTCTGCTGTCTTGTCTCCTGCAGCAGCCAGGTGCATGTTTACAAAAGAGCAACTTCAGATGTGGAAACTATTTTTCAATAATGCGTATCCTAGCTTCTTTTAAATAATAAGGCAAGGGAAATGTGTCGATGCCAAGTCATAGTAGCACTGTAGAACATCTGAAACAGACAGCCTCCATTTTAGAATTTTAAACTGAAAGCACAGAACACTTGAAATGTGAGGAGACCCTTGGATGAATTTTGGTGTCCATGTCAAATGCAGAAATATCCAGGAGTGCTTTGAATGTCAGCTAGCAATGCCAGAAGAAATTTCATGGATGTAATCAGAGCAATTTTCCAAAAACCTGGGAAACCTATAAAGAAATAAAATCACCAAAATCCATTATACAATTATGGTGAGAATGTAATCAAATGCAATCAAATCAAAAGCAATGCTTCAGGCTTATTTATAGCATTAATCAGATCATTTCAGTTAAGCCTTTCCATTTTAAGGATCCGTCAGTGCTAAACGTTGCTATAAAGGTTGTATTAGTTGTTAGAGAAATCGGTCTTGTCTAATTTTCACATGAAACAATTGCTTCTTGCCTTTGTAGGACACAGTGTCAGTACACAGACCCAGCTTTTATGCAGAGAGATTCTTCAAATTCATGACCAACACGGTGTTTCGAAAGAATTCCTGTAAGTGTACATAGCCCAAGAGCTGTTGTCCTTGCGATGTGGGAGAGGCAGAGCCTTATCTCCATCTTGCTGCTTCAGTCTGTGTGGAAAGCTTCTGGGCTGGAGTCTGAGCAGGCTTTTCCACTGCAGGGTAAACAAAAGTTGGGGAACTGCAAAGCCTGGGGTTATCACAGCTTGCTTTGGCCTGCTCAGACTCTGGCCCGGAAGCTCTCCATGCAGCCTGACAGCAGAGGAATCAGTCTCCAGGAGATGGAGCCTGCAGAGCATACGCATGTTTCAGAGAGCAGAGGCCTCTCCCTACAAATGGGAAGGTGCCTTTGGTGTGAAGATAGTTGGTAGTGGTGATTATTTCTTCTTCTCATTCACTTTTGTCATCTAGCTCTAAAATCATCTCCCTCAAAGAAAGGGCGTAGTGCCTTGCTAGCTGTCAAGACACCTGGTCCAACAGCTGCGTTTTCAGCTAGCCAGCTTCCCTCGGAAAAGGATGAAACCCAGTATGATCTTCGTGCAGCCAGGAGTTACCCCACGCTCGATGATGAAGGTAATGGTCTCGTTTGGTGGCTGATGGTTGTGTGATTACCCTCTCTCTCCTAGCAGTTCCTTAGTGTCCTCCCGTGTTCTCATTCAGTGCCCCACCATGCACCAAACACACATCGTCTTTGATGGCTAGTTCTTCGTTCCATGTCTTGCTGTGCTTTGCAGGTGCTAAACTTAACCGTGACAGGGGAGAAGGTAAGAGTATATAGTTTTGTCACAGCACTAGCAGTTAGTTGTTTAGGGAAGCGACATCTCTGCATTGAAGAAAACGAAATCCCTTCTTTGCAGCACTGTATTGTTCAGCTGTAAAAAATGGTTGCTTGTGTCCCTGCTGCAAGGCAGCTGCTGCCAACTGGCTCCAGCATTCATAGCCCAGATGCAATCAGAAAGTTGGTTGGTTGAATTTTCCACCCTTAAAGAAAGGGAACTGGGAGCTACAGGACTCTAATGTTTGGGTAGTTATAAGGGGGCAAGATCTTGCCTTTGCAAAAAGACAAGAGAGTCTCCTCCTTTGCTACCTTGTCATCCCTTCCATCTGGGCTGGGTTTACAGATGAGCGGTGAAAGGCAAGGTCCTTGAGTCCTTGAGTCCGTAAGTGTTAGATTTCTACCCGTGCAAGATGGTGAGAGCGGTGAAAGGCAAGGTCCTTGAGTCCGTAAGTGTTAAATTTCTACCCGTGCAAGATGGTGAGCTTTCGATTCATCTCTTAATTCACTTGAATATTTATCTCTGGCAATCCAAGCCTTTAATCCAGCTGTGGTTACCAGTGAGATGTTTTCATTGGCCTTATGCTTCTGGTAGCATCTTTAAACTCCTACCCAAGGGTAGGATGCTATCTGTTGTGCAGGAAATGGTGCTTATTGGCTCTCTCTAGAGGAAACCTATGTTGTCCTAACCTGCCTTTGGATTAACTGTTGCAGCCTTGAACCCAGCTAAACTTCCTGTGTGTTCGTAGTTTTAAGTGGCCAGTCCCAGTGTGGGTGTGCAGGTGATGGTGGAGTGGCCTGGCACAGGGCTGGTGCAGATAAGGTGTTGGTGTTTGACCTACTCAGTTCTTCCTTCCTACATCTCTCCCTGCCCTCTGCTTGGGCTAGTAGGCAGGCCAGACCTGCTACCCTGCACGCCGCCGTCTTTTGAAGAAGCTACTACAGCCTCCATAGCCACAACACTGTCTTCAACATCTCTCTCTGTTCCTGAGCGATCCCCCTCAGAGACCTCTGAGCAGCCGAGGTACAGGTGAGGACAGCAGCCTTGTCCTGCTCCCGCTAGAGTCAAGTGGTTGCCGTTCATCCTCATGCTGCAGATCTCGGCAGGCTACCCTATGCTCCAAAATGCTAATGACCGATTTCAATTAAATCTCTCCTGGGAGCAAGCAGACACAGCTTGGGTGGGATTAATTATTGCTGGGAGAAGTGTCAGCTGTTAAGTAGAACATCTCCCTTGTGGGGTGGGGAGTTAGATTTGGGGGCAGTGTAGGATTTCTGTCTTAAATTCCTCCTCAAACTCTACTGTTCTGGTTTCTTTCCGCAGGAGGCGCACACAGTCCTCAGGCCAGGACGGCAGGTGAGAAAAGTTGCATCTCTTCTTACACTGCTGCACAGAGACCTCACGTTTGTCCCTGTGCAAAGGACAAGGAAGGCTTGGAAGGCTCAGTGTGAACCTCTGCAGTTCCAAGACTTTGGGGCGGTCCTCTACAGCATGGTGAACTTCTTCCTGCAACTGAATGATCTCCGTTTCTTATACAGAATTTTCCTCATGAGCAGATGTCAGAATGCTTTGCAAGGAATTTACTCCTGTGATTTGATGGGAAAGGGGGCAGCCTGAGTGAGTTGTCCAAATTTACCCAGCCAACCAGCACCAGAATTAAGGGAATCAGTCTTACATGCCCCTCTCTGGGTAAGCAAGCCTTAAAAGCAGGAGTGTTCATCTCCTGTGCATCTGTCGGACATCTGGGTGCACTGGAGATGAATATAGGAAAGGGCTCTGACTTTGAGAGGTACCAAGCACCCACCATCTCCAGGGAAGTACTTTAGAGGCTGCATGTCTTTCTAATGTTTTCAGAAACTCGGGTGCTTTTGGTTTTTTTTTGTTTGTTTGGTTTTTTGAGAGCTTTTTCCCCCTCCTGCAGTAATAGGTAGCTCAGAGCCAAGGACAAAGTGTGACAAAAATTCCCCTACTGCATAGAGGTGTCCGGATTTAGTGCTTTTTTTTGCTGATTTTTGCCCTGGCTCCCTGGGACATCTTGTAAGTGTTGTAGTTACAGATTTTGAAATGCACTCCAGAGACACTGTTGTGGGGTATGCCATAGTCAGAGGAGCTGCTGGATAGGCTCACATCCTCTGCAGTCAATGTCTGGTACTTCAGAGGAAGGCAAGCCTTCAGAAGACGGAAGTTTGCACCAGCTCACAGACATCCCATTCTAGCTTTTAATGATTTGTTGAGCTTCAGACCAGATACATGGATCAAAAACCTCCTTTTGTGTTAATGAGAACACCTCTGAATGGTGCATGTCACTGAGTCTTGGTAAGTTCCTGCCACTGGAGGGCAAAGACCTAGTTTCTCAAGATTTGTAGCATCTTTTGAAGCAGCTGGGAGCCATGAAGTATTTCAGATTGCAAGAAATCAATTGCAAAATCCATTGTCTGAAAGTGCTGAAAACTGGAGACTTAAACTCAGGCACCTGTGACAGGACCTGCCAAACAAAAAGCGGCAACTTCATCTGAGTCACTCCACACTCCCTTAGTACGTAATGGAGGGAGTCGCTGTAGGATGTGACCGCTCATCCGAAAATAGGCCAAGTGAATTGTGTCCTAGAAGTGCTTGTCCCTGGACAGTACAGGGAGCTCAGTGATTTCCTCTGGGGCAGATCTCTCCATCACAGGCTTGCCACAATTACAGTCCCCTCACAAATGTGGGCTTTATTACTTTTTTTGGTTTGTTTGTTTTTTCCCCTGTGTCTTCATTTCTGGTGCTGGTGTCTGTGTGTGTCGTTTCTAGGGGAGCAGGGACCTGTATATTTGTAAAGCACTCTGGGATCCCCCGGTGAAAGCCACTGCAAGAACAAAGTTATTAATGCACGAATCTCAGGGAATTTACATTCCTGAGCTGAAATGGAAAAGCCCTTATCCAATTTGCTCAAGCCTGGAATGTGTCACACCTCTGAATTATTATAATCTGCTGGGGAATTCCCTCTGGGTTTCTAAAATTCACCACTACAAGAAGTAGCAAGAGCCCTGGTGCTGGCGCGGACCCAGCCACGGTGAGCTGGACAGGAGTGCCGCCTGCTGGCTCCAGCTCCCAGCCTCCCTGCAGCGCTTCCCAGAGCCCTGCTCCCAGCCGAGCACCGGCCAGGGACGAAGCAGAGCAGACTGGTACTGCTTATAAACCTGCAGCTCCTTCGCCCGGACTGTGCCCTTGGCTTGGCAAACACTAGCTCCTCCTTCCCATGAGGACTATAAAACCAGCCCTAATAACGTAAGCAATTACTTTAATAGCATGAGAGATTAAATTGAAGACAGTGCCACAAATGGCTCCTGAGCATGCAGAAAAATCTGATGTTAACCCTGGAGCACGCCTGAACAGCTTGGTGTGCTGGGAGCTTCAGAAGAGGTCAGAGGCTTTGGCCCTTGTGTTGCTGATAGATGACGCCAGGCTAACACAGGTTTTCCCCAGAGACCAATTCTCCTTTTTCCTCCTGTTTCCAGTCTGGCATTATCCATCTTTTCTGCAGTGTTGGCAACCTAATCCCTTTCTTCTTCTCATCTTTTCCTACTTCTATGGTTTCAAGCAATGCAGTTTGAAGGGATTGATCCTTTTGTCTGGGAATTTTGATTATCTGAAATCTCAGTCCTGGAAGTCTTGACTGCTCCCTCTGAGCTGAAATCAATGGCTCAGTTTCTGCCATGAGCTCAGTGGCTGTGAGTGGCTGGCCGCAGGCTGCCATGTGCCGAGGCAGACCGGTACAGCTCGCTCCCATGGCCAGTGGCAGGGTGAGAGGCTGACTCAGGGCTGATTTACACTGGCCTAAAATTGAGAACTGTGCGTGAGTAGAGGCAGCACAGCGCCAAACTAAGCATTTGGGCCTGTGTGTCTTTGGCTCTCCAGGTCACACGAGGAGGTGCGGGTTGAAGAAGAGCTTCAGCAGATCAGCGTAGAGCTGGAACCCAAGTGCGATGTTGAGATTGTAGCTCCTGAAGAAGACGACAAAGAGTGAGTGTTTGAGGGTTTGATGGCTTGACGGAGCCCTGCCTAGTGTCATTTAATCTGTGGGACTTGAGCTAGAAGCTGGTTTTGTAGGTTGCCAACTTTCCTGGAGAGATAGGTGCTCCCATAGGCAGTTCAGTGAGACACTGCTGAGCACTGCTGCTTCTAGCCTGACCTGATCTGATCTTTCTGGATGTGAAAATGGAGCATCTGTGCAGTAAATCAGTCTTGCTTGCTCCTTCTTTTTTTGATCACAATCACTAGACTGTGTCATTTCTTCCCTCCTCCAGAGAGGCAGCTTCTTCAGCCTGTGCCACTGCAATGTCCACAGCTACAATAGAAGTGGAGACGGCCAGCCAGGCCTCCGAACCAGCAAGCCAGGCCTCCGATGAAGATGATGTGCCGGTCACAGACATATACTTTGTAAGATACCTTCTCTGCCTGGCTCGTTAGGGGTGTAATGTGAATGGTTGGTCTGAATTCAGGCAGTCGGGTGAGGGGCAGCGGTCTGCCCTATGCCATCCTTGTGTCAAGCACCTCGAGATCTTAATGCTGGACAGATTTTTGAATCTAGGGAACTGGATTAACCCTTGAAGAACTTGAAGTAGCATGTCATGGGACCCAAACAGGTGACACTGCTGCTGTATATGTAACTGTAGATGTGCTACTCTACTTCTAAGCACAAGCACTGAAGAGCTTTACTAGGCCAGCATATTCACTTCTGAGATAAGCCAAAGTGAATCTCCTGCCTTCCTCAGCCAGAGCGCCTTGCTGCTTTCCTGCGCCCAAGCGTGTTGTGGTGGCCTAGAGCCAGAACGGAGGTTGTTGCAGTGGGGCTGACCTCAGGCTCTGGTGAAATCTGGCTTTTCCTTTCCCTGCAGGCAGATGCATTAGATGGTGCAGTGGAAATCTAGTACTGAGACAGGGAGTAAGTGAGGTGGTTGTTGGTTGGCAGCAGAGTGCCGTGGAGCCTGGTGCTGTATTCCTCAGTCAGCTCCCACCTCTGAGCAGCTTCTGCAGACTGGAAAGGAGTTCAGCAACATGTGCCTGTCCCTTGGACTCCCAGAGCAGTGCAGGGCTAATGGTCTGACCTGTGACATTCCTACTCCCTGTCCTGGCACTGGAGCCTTCTCATTAAAGGAGGTGGCTTCTCCCTGCTCCAACACATTGCTGTCAGATACATGGCAGTAGAGAAGAGCTGAACCCTGTGATAAGCTCTTTCAGGCTAACCTAAAACCAGCAACATTTGGCTTCCCCTGCGCTTGCATGACTCTGCTGCAGAACTGCTCACTCGTTACCGAGTCATTTAGAGGCTTGTGGGAGCTGCAGAAGGAATCAGCTCCATTTTAAGAGCTTGTCTGTTTGGGGTTTTATGCATGCTGTTCAAAATGCAAACAGCTCCCTCTAACACTGGCTGCTCTTTCTTTGCCTGTGGATGGCAGCTGTGTGCAAGCTGTCTGCAGATACTGCCTGCTCCACTGGCAGCTGTCTTCTAGTGAGGGTCAGTTCCTGTTCTTCCCTGTCCCTGAGCATATGGACTCCTCCTGACTTTCCAGGGACTGCTCTTTTTCTGGAGGAAGCTGTCTTTGTACAGTGTGTGTTCACAGAGAGCATGACTGACTGCTCATCAGCATTTCATACCTCATCTCAGCCCTTGAGTTTTGCATTAAATGTGTGTCGTGTGCTGTGGAGTGTTTCCCTCACTGCTGGGATGAAGGGAAAAGCTGATTTGGGTTCCCACGGGCACACTCCTTGGAAAATCACTTAAACTGCAGCTCAGGTAAGGCTGTACTTGAGTGCAGTGAGGTTTGGACCGCAGCTGCTCTACAGGAGCATTCCAGGAGCAATGGTCAGTGAAGGGAGGCTGTGTGCAGAGAAGGATTTTTGGCAAGTCCCAGGAAATCTGCTTCAGAAGGGAAAGCACTTTATCCTCCTCTTCACCCCCAGGGGAATAAAGGTGCAGAGACTATGGCAGGGCAGGGGCGCTGCTCTTCCCGTGCAAGGCTTTCCTGCCTGCTGATCCATTCAGGCCTGGAGTTGCCCAACCCCTTGTTTTGCTTTCTCTTTCATCCTCTCTTTCACATCATCCTTTTCTCCTCTGTTTCCTTTCTCACCTCACTTGCCCCCTGGCCATCCAGTTCACAGATGGGAGGTACTGGATTTACTCTCCCCGCCAGCGCAGACTCCGAACCACCTCGCTTTCCTCTGGGACTGTAAGTGAACATGCTAGCACATAGGGGAGCAGAGCTGCAGCTTTGAAACACTGGGGCTAGCAGCTCCATTTCCCTTGGATGTCGTGGCTCTGTATTGTGTGGCTACTAGGAACTGGCCCAGTAAAAACTGAAGAAGCAGAGGAAGAAATACATAAATGGATCTCAGTGTAGGATCTTGCAGAAATGAGGACTCTGCCCTACTTTTCTTCAGGCTAATGACAGTTCCTGGCATGGGATGGACTATAGTATCATCTAGCCCTTGGACAAACTTGCTGGCACCAGACCTGGCCAGAAAGGCAAAGGCATCTGTATGCTTGTAGGTAGTGTTAGGCTTAGCTCCCTTGGCCCAGGACGCCAGACTGGATTCCAGAGAGACCTGTAAGATGTTTTGAAGCAGATAAAAATCCAGTTAACAAATGTGATCTTTTAGGTCTCTGGCTGTTGGGGTTTTTTGGTGGGGGGGAGGGGGGGCTGTTTTTTGTTTTTGTTTTTCTCCTGTCTGGGACGCTGACCAGCTTTTAAAGCCAAAGGAGCTGAGAGGCACTGCTGGGCTAAGGGAAGGTTTCTGCTCCCCAGCCCTAGCCGGTGTGGTACTTATGCTCCCTCCTCACTACAGGTTTTCCGTGAGCCACAGGGGTTTTCCTTTCCCTTCCAAAAGATGCAGAGAGGCTATTTGGCATTTAGGGGCTGAATGGGCTGAATCTGGAGCTCAGACTGCTCTGGGTTGTGATATCAGCTCTCCCAAAGACTGTGAAGAGAAATATCTTCCTCGGTGGGTAATGACAGTGTTGTCAGGGACTCACCACAAGCACTTGTGTCATGTCTTCCTAGTCCCTGCCTATCTGCAACCAGGCCAGGGAGTAGTGGAGAGACCATCAGTTGGGCAGGGTGCATGGGAAGCAGGGGCAAAGCTCATAACATGCTCCTCAGCTGGGCTGATGGCATGAGAAAGTGCTGTACCTATGTGTGCAAACAGGAAGCCCTTCCTTGCAGCTCCTCCTGCCCTCATCTGCTATGTTTGGCTGCCCCAGCACCAGGCGGGTTATTTCCAAGTACCAGATGCTCCTTTAGCTTCATACTGGGTTTGCAGCTCTTACTCTGCCTGCATCTAGACTCCCAAAAGCCTCTGAAAGAGGCTGGCTGGAGCATGGGGTTCAGTCCGAGTGGATGGAAAACAGGGTGCAAGACATGCTCTGTGCAGTTTTGAGTGCTCCTTCATCTCCAGCAGAGCCCTGGAAGAAGCTTCAGGCAAGGGTTTCTTTCCCTTTCTTCCTCCCAGTGGTCTCTGCTAACGCAGCTACAATTATTGTTGGGGTTCAGCATGTGGAGCCCAGTGCTTCAAAGCTCCTCTGGCTTCTTGTAGTTTCTTGTACATCTTAGACTGTTGTTGTTGGTTCCTGGGTTGGGAACCCTTCCAGGCTTCTTCCGAGTACCCTGCTCCGTTTCTTTCCTTTGCAAGCCTGGGCTCAGGCGAAGGCGAGAGTTTCGTCTCTCCTTCAGATCTCGGCGCACCTCTAGAGCTGACAAAACCGCTTTGCAGTAGAAGTGGATCCCACTGGGGAACACTGGGAACGGACACCAGCCCTTGAATCTGCCTAGGTTTCTCTGTGCTGAGTCGGAAACAGAAGTGTTTTGTCATGCTCTTGCCCAGTGCTGTGATAACTGACTCCCTAGATACTCATCCCCGTTCCCTTCCTTCTGTCCAAGATCCAGTTGTGTTTTGCCTGCTTTGTTGTACCTGTTCCCATCTCGCCACTGTCTACAAAAGTCTCATCGCTAATTGATTCCTCTCTGTGACCGCCATCCACCATGATCTAACCAGCCCATCTGCTGCCTTGCTTGGTCTGCAGGGAATGGGGGAGGCATAGCAAATCAGATTCCACTCTAAAAGCCCTCTTGGACACCCAAGAGATGCCAGCTTGTAACCTGTAAGGGGCTCAGGAAACAATTGGGTAATTGGGTCAGAGGACTGGGTGGTAGGAGCTGAGCCCTCTATCAGTACCCTTAGGTAAGTCACTTCCCACATCTGCGTTGGTTTCTCTGAAGTAAGAGCGATGCTGTGGCAGGGAACTGCGACTTCCTTGGCACCTCTAAAGCGCTAAAATCTGTCCCTGGGAGGTGCAAGGGGGGAGGTTGTGCCATTCCCACTGTAGCTGGAGCAGGGTCCATTGTCAGAGCTGCTGGCAGGCTGCCCCAGCTGGTGGGGAGCAGGTACGTACCGAGGATGAGGAAGGGTCCTCACTGAGACCTGGCATTGAGCTCAGTTCTCTTCCCTCTGGGTGGACAGCTGTTCTTACTGTATTGTTTCCTACTCTTTTATTTTTCTCCTTTTATTTTCTGCTCTTCTCTCCTTTGCTCCCTGCTCTGCTGCTGCTCTCCTTGCATTCTCCCTGCCGTCTCTGGCCACTCTGGCAGCCGACAGACGAGAGGAGTTGGGTTTACTCCCCGCTCCACTATAGCGCTCAACTCCACTCTGTCTCCGATGAGGAGAGCGATACAGTAAGTGTACGAGAAACATGTACCGGGTGCCCGGTGGGTCAAGCTTGGAGCTTGCGCTCTATCTGCAAGGGCAGCTTGCAGGAGGGAGCTGCTGTGGCCTCTGCAGCATGGGGCTCTTGCATGGCTATGGCAGAGTCCTGCTGCATCTCAGATTGGCTCTGTGGCAGCAGGTGAGAGACCAGTTCAGCTCAACAGCACTTCTGGCTTGTTCTGAATCGTTTAGCACAGTGAAAGCTTGGGGATCTGAAGCGTTCCAGTCATGTTATCATTACTGGAGGGTGCAAAACAAGCAGGCTTCTGTCTTCATATTCGTTTTGATTCTGGGTATTTGGCTGGGTTCAGATCTAACTGAACGCACAGAGCAGGTGCTCAGGTGTTGACTCTCTTCTCTCTGCCTCTTGCAGTAATCTCTATGCAGACACAGAAGCCCCAGAGAGCAGCGATTCCCTCTGCAGGTCGATGTGTTCCCTTTTCGTTGATGCAGCCGTTCCAATGGGATGGGGAAGAGCTTGCTGACACCAGTATTGCTGCACTGCAGGATCCCAGGCACTGCATTTCAGAATGGAGCAAAACTCTAACCGTGTATTTCTACTTATCCCAGATGTGGGCAGCAAAGAAACCACCCGCTCACCCGCAGCTCCCAATGGAGATGTCCAGCTGGGTGTAGAGAATCCTGGATAGTAACACAGTGTTTTCCAAACGTGCACTACCGTAGCTACCTATCCATGTGTGATACTGTGAACCTTTTTAATTTTTTAATCATGTATTTATTTCTTTTATCTTTGCACAGAGACAGCACAAATGTGCTTTTTTAAACATTTAGTTTACTGCACTTTTTTTTTTTTTTTGTCATATATTTGTGCATCAGAAAGGAGCGTGAGACCTCACTGGAGAATTGGTAGGAGCACGTTGCTGGGGAGGGCAGGGACCAGAGTGGCTTCATTTGAGGCAGCTGATGGAGTCAGGAGGTTTAAGGCTGTCCAGATTCTGCCACGGTTTTGTCGAGTGACCTAGATCAAGTCACTTAACCACTCTGTGCCTCGGTTTCCCCTGTGCTAATGGGTGTACAGTACCCACTTCCGTTAAAGCACTTAAACCCTGGGATGAAAGGTGCTATGTAAATGCAATGTATTAAAGGCCATTGAATAGAATTGCTCCCATGTTACAGTAGTCCAAAGCAGCCATGCCAATTTACTTAGATTCAAAAATTGCTAGTGACTTCTCTTGATCTGTAACACTGTGTGGGGGAAGCAAATGATCCTGGCTATAGTGACCTCGGCCCTCCTCTGGACGTCGAGATGGGTTCTGCCTTCACCATGTGCTGTACTGCTCTGTGTCGCCCTGTCCCTCTGTGCTCGGAGTCCACACTGTCTTACCGGCTGCTGCACCGACGTTTGCTCCAGGCTGCTGCCTGGTGACAGGCATGGACAGATGAGAACTGTGCATCTCCACAGACCACCCTCGTTGGAGTGAGAGTTCCCAAGTCTGCCCAGCCCCAGGTGGGGTTTGCCTGGACACTGCATCCTATTGGAGCCACTTAGCACTGCGCATGTTCATGGGTGTATCCAATTGCCAAGTAATCGGGGGTCACAGAACATTGGGTTCACATGTATCCTCCGTACCTCAGGGTAGTCAGGGAGTCGCATGCACGTCCACGCACTGGAGGCAATAACAGAAGCCTGACGCTGGCACCTAATTGCGCCAGGCTGTACTGTGTTCGCGGACTCTCTCTGTTGGACAAAAAGCTGGGAGCCTCTCATGCCGCCTGTTGAAAATTGCTGCTTTGGATGTCTGAGATGCAGAGGGTTTGCTCTGAGGGCCACAGGCTTTGGATGAGACAAGGAAGATTTAGTGTCGCTTAGCAATGTTCAGAGTAGGCTCGTTCTTCCGTCAGCAGGGTACTGTAACATTGTCTTCAGTTCCCTAGCGATCCCCCCTCTTCTCCCAGAGAGAAGAGAAAACCTTTAGAGCAGAGGGAGCTAGGTCTTGTTCATGTGCTTTACAGGCCTTGCTCGAGAGAGATGGTGAAAGATCTCTCCATTCCCATTACAGCCCTCAAACAGTCCTTGGGCTTCCTTGTGGAGGAGTGTGGAAACGGGACCCTGCCCTAGGGGCTCAGTCTGATCTGTCCTCACAGCAGCACTCAGGACCGGTTAATTCAGGTCCCAGAAGGTGACTGGGCTGGTGGGAAGCTCTTCCCCTCTGCAACGTGATGAACTTGGTGAGGATCTTCATGAGTTGACATAATTTCTTGCCTAGAAATATGGGACCTAAACTTCCACCCCTTGCCTGCAGATGCTGAAGGCTGTAAGGTGTGCTGCTTTCTGAGTACAGGCTGGGGTTCTTGCAAGCTGCTTCCATTAGCTTTATTCATATTATTTACCAGAGTAGTTCTATCAAAAACCTTTTAAGGAAACTCTCCCCTTTCAGCTGTCAAGTAGCTACTAATTCACCTAGCAAGTAGCATTGCTCCATGACAGCCCCTTTGGGAGGCTGGGAAACAGCTCTTAAATCACCACATCTCCTTGTGTTAGTCCTGTGTGGGCTTTGCAAGCTGTGTATGTTTAGTGCTACGGCAGGGCTCAGCCGTGCAGCAGAGGGGAGACGTGCAATACATACAGAGTAACTTGCCTCTGGGCTGAAAGCAAGAGGCTTCAAACAATGTTAAAAATGTAGCCAGTGCTCTTTTCCTCCGAAAATGCAGAGCAGCCACCGTTAGGAAAGAGACCAGTGGGAACTGCATCCCTTCTGCATCTTCAAACGTTGCTCTTGGGTTCTGCATTGGAGAAATGTAGTCCTGGGGAGGAGCCCAGGAGGCTGCTAGGACTGTCTGAACCAAGTCCCAGCTGCCCTGGTACCAACTTGTTTTTTTGTCTAGGGGGTTTTGCCTCAGCTTGACTTTGCAAGCTAAAATTGAGCATCTTTCGTTGTCTAAGAGCAGAGGTTGAGACTCTGTCCCTTCCCCTCATTTCAGGGTGTCTGAAGCTGCTCAGCCTCAGTGCAGGAAGCACCTGAGCCCAACCTTCGCAAAGGATCTCAGTGAATGAACTTTGCAGTCTGAAGCTGTGCTTGGCCCCAGAACATGTGGGGAAGCCCAGGCCTTCCCCCCCACCCCCAATCTATTCATTCCAAATGTTGTCTTTCCTCAGGCGTCCTGGCCTGAGGACAATTTTTGAGACAATCCTTGTGCGTGCAATTCTGTAATGCTGAACCTTTTGGAACGAGCACGTCTGCTACAGAGTTAGGAGCTCTCAGCTCTGGGTAGACAGGGTTTGGTCCTGTGAGAGGATGCGCAAAGGGATTAGAACAACTTTGCCAACATGAAGGGACCTTCCTTAAGAGCCTTCCTTTAGGGAGACAGTGATCTGAAATGGCAACTGCCCCTTTCCAAGCCTGCATACACTCTGTGCTGTGTCACATTACTTGTCCAGTTACCTCTGTGCTAAAGAAGCGCTGACCCGTAGAGGCTAAAAGGACCTTGGAGTTTACAGCTTGCTCTTTGTCCATCACTTTGCATTTGGATACTTGCTGCCCAATGGGTAGCAAGGTGACAGCTTTGGGGAGCTTTGGAGCATTTTCTAACTGCTGCCAATGCTCCCTTTGGCAGGTTATACCAGAATCGGCGGAGGAAGGACTAGGTCTTGCCTACAGCATCAACCCTTTTGGGGGGAAGAGAGCCTTTGCCTGTCCTTGGTCTGAATGTCTCTCCAGCTGTACTTTCAGCTCATCCTGGAAATGAGCTGCATGTAGTTTCCTGTTCGGACTTTTCTCTAGTGACCCAGATGATCTCTGGTTGCTGCTGTCACTGGTGTGAGCCTATGATGTCTACAACTTTAAAAGGAGGCACTATGTTTCTTCTGCTCCTCTGAGATCAGAGCACCTCAGTGAGACAGCACTTCCCAAGTAGCTTCATTTGCCCCTGCTCTCTCAATCCCTGTCATCCCAGCTTAGACCCTCAGCTTGGCATGAAGTGCTCTGGGGTGAGTCTTGCTCTCTGCTAAGGCATTTGGTGAGCTTTCGGCTTGGGCTGTTGAAGGGAGTATCTCTCGCCAAGCCGAGGTAGCAGGAGTGTGATTGTCTCCACTTCTGCAGTGAGTGTGCTCTCCTGACATGCGGGTCTTTAGGGTGATGGGATCATGCAGCCCAGGCTTCTGCCTGCCACAAATGCCCACAGGTATGGATTTGGCAAGGGGAAACATGGGTCTCCTGAGAGCTTTCTTCTGGGGAGATGTCTCAGTTTGCACAATGTGGCAGGCAGCTAAACTTGCTATAGAGTTACCGTAAAGAGCAGAGCTTTTACAAGTGTGAACAGAGTAGAGGGATGGCACAAACTGGAAACCTAGGGGTTGTCAAAAGGGTACAGAAATCCCTAAATGCTCATGAGAGATGGTGAAAAAGACTCCCCAAGTGCTATTAGCAAAGCCAGAGAAATGATGGGTCTCGGCACTGAGCCGGCACAGCTGCGGGCCTGGTGCAGGCAGGGCTTGGGGTTCGTGCGGGCTCAGTCGCCTTCAGTCCGTGGTGTAGCCGTGGTCAGCAGTGCTGATCCTCCCCAGGCAGCTGGGAGCAGCCGTACCATTTCCTTCCCTTCCTCGGTCCCAGCCAGCATCAGGCTCCAGCTCTCACTGAAAAGGAAAAGGCAAAAGCCACGGCCCAGGCGTACGGGATCGCGTCCGATTTTCCTTCTGTTAGCGTCTACATTAGACCTATGTATCTTTTCTCGGGTGCTCGTGTTCCCAGCCTTTTGCTCTGTTGGCTGCGTGCGTGTGTGCCGCGTAACGAATGTATGTAAGTAGGCTGGGGGGGGCTGGAAACGGGATGCCAACTCACGGGTGTTGTCATGTTTCTCTTATTTTTAGGGGGGGTTAAGTCATGAGAGGGCTTTTTTTTTTTTCCTTCTTTTTCCTGTCGGGAGACCTTTTTCCAGAGAACTGTAAATTGATGCTATCTGTCCTAGGCTCTGTGATAAAGAATACTGTGCTCTGTGTTGTAAACACACCGGACAAACGAGCCTGTCTAG